GGATTGAGGTGAAACTAAGGTTTCGTGGGTGCTGGCGAGTGGAGGGCGCGCAGGATAAAAATTTGCCGTTTCAGCGGGCGTATATACCCCCCTAGAAAAGGAAGTAGTGGGAGTATAGGTAAGAAATGGGTTGAAATGGTGGAAATAGAAGGAAATTTTCGGAGATATTTACCGTTTCAGAGTGACTATATAGGGGAGGGGGTCGTAAAATTTTTTCGAAAAGTAACAACGATAGGACAGGTCCTGGTGGCGAGATTCGATATGTAGTGGACACTGTTCGGAAGTGGCGAGCTTCCTTTGAACGTTGCGTCCCGTCGATTCGCTAGCGCAACGCTCGGATCTCAATTCGCAAACTATCACATCGGCCATAGAAAGTTTTCGAAAAATTTGGATCCGGAAAAAGGAGGAAATAGGTTGCAAACTAATGAACGTTTCGAAGGTCGGAAATCGAAAAATGGTACAGCAGCGAAAATTGATCCCTTTCACGCTTCGGTACCCGTGACGAAATGATTCCTGGTCCATTGGCTCTTCTAAAACCTGCCAACAAAGCCTGCATGGGCAGAAAGGAAGACGAAGAATGGACTCCTGTCTCTTACTGAATTACTGTAGCTCTCTTATTCAGAGTCGTTTTTGAATGGTTGAAAAAGCTCGCCAAAGGAAGTTTTAAATTCCATGACATTTTGAGGGCTACAAGGGCGATTGAAAGTATCCACTGGAACGACTTTCCAGAATGTGATAAAGAACTACTATTCATTTAATCAAGATCTCATATTTATTTGGAAATTTTACTTTGAAATTTAATGAATTCATTGTATTATAGGAGGGGCTTGAGAAGAGAAAGCATCAAAATTTAGAGAGTATTAGTCAAGTAGGGAGAAATGCGCAAAAAGCTGTTGTGGCAAATTCTGATCGCCACTGTGTGTTAGCAGAATGTGTTAAGATGGGCTTACCAGAACTTCCAAGTGCTCCGCTACAGCGCGAGTAGGTGCCGAACCACAAGTTCCAAAGGAATGTCTTCAATGTTGCCATGTCTGTTGCGTGACTGTATCCTAAATTTGAAAACGATTTTTAGGTTTTCTGGCACGATAATGCAAAGGGCTCTTTAACCTTTCTTTTGCAGGTACTGAAAGGCTAAATTGAAGACTTCCGTAGCGGTCCATGTGTCGAAGACCTGCTGCAGTCCGGCTTTGCGGAATCCAGTCATCGCTTGCTCAGCAGTGCACACCTTAACCGTCGTTTGAAAATGAAGTTGTAAGAACTGAGCTATAAACGGCGTTTCAGGATACGTTAGAAATACATCTGACGCGAAATCCTTCACGTTTTTGCCATTGCATGTTGTCAGATATATTTCTGTGCTTGTCATTTCGTAGCGCTCACATCGTTCTCATGAACTTCATAACGATGTAACCAGGAAAAAGACCTGAGGTTTGTGCAAATGGGAACTTCTTGAATATCCCAACCTCAGAAATCCAAGGAGTAATTCCATTTTTTTGCCATTCTTGGAACTTGACCTGGTCAATTTTTTCACATTTCGTTGGTGTTTGTTGTTCGCTGAACTGGGTTGCAAACGGTCTCAACTGTACATGCTACCAAGCCAGACGAGAAGGAAGTTAGGAGGGAGGGGGTGGGGAGGAAACAGAAAATCGTGAATTTGAGGGGAAATGGCGTTTGAGAAAATTTTTGCGGAAACTTTCGAGAATTCCGATGAAAATTTAGGGATTAGGCATTTCATTTCAACATTCATGTACTTCACGTCAGGATGGATTTCGGATGCCACTGGATAAGAGCAGATCTGCGCTAGGAAGAGGGAGATGGTAGGTCGAAAAGACCTTCAAAAATGAGATGTGTTCTCTCTTCTGAGCCTGAATGTTGATTTGAAACCTGCCTCCCATACTTGCTACACAAGGCTGCGAACAAAATTACAGTTTTTCTTGCCGGATGTGGAGGGATGGCCTGTCGGATGTGAAGACGGATTTGCAGGATCGACTTCAGGGGATCGAATCAGTCAGCACACCCACTTTCGGTTTTTTTTATAACGTTCACAGGTAGTAAATGTCATAAGCCTTCCTTCATTGCTCAACTGTACTTGATTTGTGGTGAATTTTCCTTCGAGCTCTCAATTTGACTTTGCAGCATTATGGCGTGCGCATCACGAACGAGGCGTTCTCACACCAAGCGGGTGCGACATTCGCGTTTATGAGGTCTAACTGCTTTTAGGGACGAATTTCCAGTGAAATCGAGATCTTGAGCCCCTGATCGGAAAGAAAGTTGTGACCATGAGTAATAATGTCCCTCTAGTCGCTAGTATCTCCAACATCGGCCCATGCTTACAACCCTTCGGCAGAAAGATTGTTTTCGTTGGAAATTTAGCTGTAGAGGTGATGACGGTCTCATCAACAATATGGCAGTCGTCGGAAAATTCTGCAATTTCTCTCTTCTTGCAACCTCGTTACGTCAAAAACTTTTATATCCGTCCCCACTCGAGCTGAGTCTACTCTTCACCACGGAATCATTTATAATTCTGCTCAGAATCATCCAGCAGATGTGAAATAAGTTCGAGATCATTCGAAGAGGCTTTGGATGGTGCACCTCTCATCTGTATGGCTTCTTCGACCATTTCTTTCTCTTGTAACAGAGCAGGTAACATTTTGAGAGATTTCGATATGCTGAGAGGACTTCAGAACAAGACTCTCCGAAATGTCGACATAATAAAATTAAACTCATAGAAAAAATATTACCATAAAAATTCTGACAAGGAGACATCTACTAATTTTGTGAACTAATGTGCGAAAATCAAGGAATATCCTTTGCAAACCAAGCAACTCATATACAAAAGAAAAGAATATACTACCTCAGGAGTGAAAAGATTCCTGTTGAACACATCGATCAAAGTGGCGTAGACAGGTCGTTGGAAAAGAGTCTCGTTGACGTAGGCAAAGAGCCTAGAAAGGAAACCATAGAGCGTTAGAGTGTGATCAGGAAGAGAAGCTGAATGGAATAGCAGGAGCTCAGAGCAGAACTCACTGATTCGGGCTGGTTTTCTTGTTTCCTGAAACTTTGTTACCCCAGTCCAGAGTGTAGTCATTAGGACCGGCCTTGTCGACATCGGCAGCTCGCATGTTATCCACAAGGATCTGAAAACACCAATCTTTTTAATAGAGTGAGCGCTAACATCTTTTGCAGTCATGTTAAGACGTCATGAAAGGATTCTTAGTATAACCCACAGCCTCCCTAATCCCATTCCCTCCCCTACATAGGGTTACCCACACCTTTAGCGTGCGGTCCGGGAGCCTAATAAATGATCAAAAACCTTGTTCCGATGCCCAACATTTTATTAAAAAGGGATTATAGACATACAGTGGTACGGCAAAGCCCTCGACTCGTCCCTTAAATTCTTAAAGTCAGGTTTAGCTTACGATAGAGAGTACGCCCATTAGAATCAAAGTAGCGTGGTCAGTGTGCCGAGATGTAGAAAAAACCGATGAGAAACGGTCCAGAACCGAGAAATTCCCTTTGCTCTTCCGCATGATCAGCTTGTGCATCGCCTTCTGGCCCCATTCCATGCTCGAAGCCCTTTCTGCTGAATGGCTAGAGACACGTAGCGAGGTGGGTCTGAAGCCATCGATTGTGGGCGACGCGCTGAATAGCGCCGGCAAGGGCCCTTGCTAAGTCGCCGGGGCAGCATATCTTTCGCTGCGGATTGCGTGTCGGTGTGCACCCTTGTGGGGGATGGGGTCCACCTGTTCTTACACTAGCTAAGTTCCCCTTCTTCGACCCTATGACTATCGTGAAATCCTCCTTAGAAATATGGTTTTCGAAAAAAAAACCCTCCACAACTTTCCAAAATTACGAGACGATACCCCACTTTGAACAATAAATACCAATAACCGTAGTTCTGCAAAATGCTCGAGAACACCTTCACGCAATTCTACTGGGTCTGAAGCGAGGAGCCTTGGTGGCGTTAGATTTTGACAGAATGACCGTGCGCTGGCACACAGATGAACATCATCGCAGACAGCAATTTGCCCGACCTGTTCCAACCATAATTTATCGCATCTATCTACTACCAATGTAGGTAAACATATTCACGCTTTTCAGCATCAGATACCCCTTTGAAGTTTACCTGCAGATCAGGATCACTGGCACTTGGCTTCTTAGTGGTACCTCCAGACTTCTTCGTCGTTTTAGGAGCAGACCCGGATATGGCGGGGTAACACTGATCAATCTGAACACTCTTTTCAATAAAAGATTATTCTTGTAAACCTGAAATCATGTTGTCGACTATTATGCCGATACCTCTATTGTACAGAGTTTGAAGTACATACGTGACACCCGCACTACGAAGAGTCGAGAAATATGGAGAAAAGTCCGAAACCGGAACTCGCAAATCATTCATTTTCGTTCAAAAGTTTCGAATACCCAGCCTCTTCGCTCGCTACAAACGAGTAAGAAGGAAAGCTCGAAAGATATGTGAATATTATTGTTTAATCAATATGCGACGCAAGGTGAAATTAGAAGTACTAAACAATGTTCAGAGCGGAGCCACACCAGTCTGAATAGATCTGACAATTTTAGTTCCAAAGTTTATATCAGTTGAGAACTTACCACTGTTACACCATTCTGTACGAGAGGTACTGGCAAAGATGCCCACAGGTTGGTTGTTGATGGTCATCTCACACTAAAAAAACATGATAATAGGAAAAATATGCTGGCTATCATGCCTGATAACACTCTCCCTAGACATGAATTTGCTGAACAACGTGAAAACCAAGAGGGCCGTTTTCGCTGAACGGAAATCGGAAATGTGCGCAACTGCACAAACTTGTTGAGCCAGCTGAAGTCAGCTTCTGGTCTTGTTAGGCAATTGCCTTTTGAGGAAATCAAATTTGAGCAGCCATTGGGTAAGTGTAGCCAAGAAATCGGCTCATCAAACCGATACGCAATCTTTAGATTTGGCAGTACCTGTCCTCCGTTCAGCGCACAAATTGTGTAGACTGCCATCTCGAATTCAGGTGAGGTATTGAGCAACATAGAGGTTTGCATGGCTTTCCAATCCTTCCAAGCAAATTGCAACGACAGTTGGACACCCTGGAACCCAATGTATTAATAGAACTTTGTAAGATGCGTAGGTACGAAATGTCTAGTTACTGATTTGCTATGAGACCGTGAAACCAACATCAATTCGCACAAGTTGATCCAGACTAATGGTGGGCCGGGCTTTGACAACAGCACCAAGGCCTTCGTTTTGAAGTCGTCGAAATGGAATGAAGAGAAGTTTTTAACAGAGATCGGCAGCATTTCCTTTGACGCATAATTTTCGTGATAACTGAATGTAATTTGCCCACACAACAACATGGGACCTTCTTCTGCTTCTGCTTTAACCACAGAGATTGGTATCAACTTTATTCGGCTAACGTTTCGGCGCAATCGCCTTCTTCGGAGCCTGCAAATCAAAGCATATTTTTGAAAAGAATTTATTCAAGCACCATTTTGGATCACATGAAGGAAAAAACTAAGTCGGTAACAAAGCTAACCTTATTAGAAGCCGAGCCTTAGAAGGCACCCTTCGCTTAAAGACCGTAAAGCGACTTTACGATGAGCGACGATAGAGTCGCTTTACGGTCTTTAAGCAAAGGGTGCCTTCTAACGCTCGGCTTCTAATAAGGTTAGCTGGTTACGACTTCGTGCTTGACTCATTTCCCCTCAGTTTTTCCTTCATGTGATCCAAAATGGTACTTGAATGAATTTGTTTCAAAAATATGCTTTGATTTGCAGGCTCCGAAGAAGGCGATTGCGCCGAAACGTTAGCCGAATAAAGTTGATACCAATCTCGGTGGCTAAAGCAGAAGCAGAAGACGATTATAATCATGCCGAGATTAATGGAGAGTCGTTCATGAACTGGGACCTATTGTTAAAGTCAATTCCTATTTCAACCCTCTTACTAGCGGAGGTCAACAGGTTCGTCCGGTCATTTGCAATGATGTGTGGATTACTGAACTCTTCGCTACTA